TGAACGGTACTCTTGGTAGCTTATATATCATGTCAAGGATACTTACGAACATACTCGAAGAGACAACAGCTTGGACAACACAGGGGAAGGGACACAAACACATTTTCTCACCTCAGGATACTCGGCACTTGAGCCTCACAACAACGGCTGGCCGCTCTCCGGCGGTCGGAGCAGCTCCTCCCGTCGGCTACCGGGGCGGGTAGAAGAAGAAGGAGAGGCAGGAAGGCGTTTGGGCACCGTCATTGATGACACAGCAGGCAGACGTCTACGTCTTCGTGAGCGCACAGCAGAAGGGTGCCCGCAAAACACCGTGGGGGCAGGGGGGGGGGGGCGTACTCATGTTCTTTGTGCTTGCGTGCAGCTGTTACACCGTTGGCCACGCGTCCTCTAGAGGACAGAGCATGGCGTTCAGGGGGCAGTTGTGGGGGCAAAAGAACATCCTTCGGAACGAGGCTAGATGATCATGTACTGTTTTGTAGGTTCTTGCGTCACTTATCCTTCTCTCGGCTGCGTCATGTTGGGCTGCCTAAATATCTACAATCTGCGATTGCCCTTGCCTTGCCAGAAAGGTACTACCGCTGCGGTCAACAACACGTTTAATTATTTTTGCGTCCTTCCGTGCATCGCGTTCTTGTAGGGATCCATTACCATCCAGCATGCAACAACACAAAACAAGTATCGAGCCCGTAGACAAGCGCGCATTGCAACGCCTGAATTGCCGTGTGACATAAGGTGCCTTTCGGATCGCATCCTTCATCACCAGCGGGATATTGCCCACCGCTAACCTCTCCTTGGTTGACACCTCCCCCTCGTTGACATCGAGAATTTTTCCGAAACAAAACCAGATATGTTCGGACGAACAGACACGGCGATGGCAGCACGGTTTGATGGGGCTCCTTGGAGGTTGAAGCACAGCGAGGGTTTGGTGACGGCTCTGACCGCTCAATGTGTCAAATCGTCCCAAATGGCGGTTGCAACATGTGTGTCAAGGCCGGTTGTCTGTGCTTCAAGCCCAACCAGTTTCTCCCACGTGTACTCGCCTCGTTTCCGATGATGAATAGTTGTTTGGTGAAGGTTGAAATATCAGGGTATTGCATACGATCGCACAGCGCTGGTGCGTACTCATGTATTGAATGCCTTAGCTGGGAGAGCATTGACCACGCGTCCTCGAGAGGACGGAACATTGTTCCCCAAGGATCGATCACCGATGGCCAATCATTCCTTCCTACTTCCGCGAAGGTGGCTAAAAGGCGTTTTCCCTATCCTGTCTATCTTATCGATATCACTTCCCGCCTTTCAGCCCACTTCCTATACCCCGATATATGGCTACCGTCATCTCTTGGCTATTCCATGTCTCGAACATCTCTCTCTACCTTCAGGGCCTTCGGGGGGGCGTCTTCAAACGTCGAGGTACCCTCACATCCATAAACAGATAGACAAGAACACTCAGAAAGGAACAGCACAGCGACGCACCAATTATTCATGGTTTTGTTCGTGTGGCATGCATACATACTGTAATGGGAATAAAGGCACATCTCTTTGTCATTGGGCCTACCCCAGAGTTCTGCGCAGGCCCATCTACAATATTCCCCCGTGCTCCATGCTGTGATGTGGGCTGGGAACTTCGCGCTCCTTTGGGTCCGCCTCGCAGAGTTCTGCGCACGCCCGACTCAACAATACCACGTGAAGGAAGACAGATGGATATTGTTTGCCTCCGTTGTGTGGGCTGGGGGCTACCCACCCCTTTGGATCAACCGCAGAGTTCTGCGCCCGCCCGCCCGCCCGCCCGCCCGCCCGCCCTAGACTCTATGCTTCCAAGTTTACCAACACGTCAAAGATAACAATATGGATATTTGCTGTGAGGCTTGTCTCTTTGATGTGGGCTGGGGCCTACCCACTCCTGTGGGGGAGACTCTTTGGGGGCACTCCTTTGGGGGACACTCCTTTGGGGGCGGCTTCTTTGGGGGAGGCTTGCACCTACCTGTGAATCGATTGCACAACAGCAGCAGCTAGCTGCTGCAAAGCACACACGGCCTTCCGCCCTTCCTTCCGCCTCGCCTGGATTCACGTACACAGCCAACAACCTTGGATTCAAAGCACTCACTCAAGCTAACCATTTCACACATCTCCTGTGAGAAGCATCTCGAAACGGTACATGATATATCCATTCTGTCATGCCATGTAGATGCTGACTAACGGGATTGCTTGAAATCCACACGTACAAAAGCAAAAGTTCTTGGAGCCACTCCTCCAGCAAGAACTTGCTGTAGACACATGCTAGAGAGGAGGGAAGCCACGTGGTGACAGAGGTTACCCGTCTCAGATAGTTTGGCGAGATCCATGGGGAACCCACCTGCCGCCTGTGGCAACATAGCAGATGCTATGTATACTGCTCGCAGACTACTGCTGTGGCCGGCCGTGTCTCGCTCACAAAGGTCGACGAGTTTTCGTGGAGCGGGGGGATTTATTTGGCCTCACAAAAATAACAGATGGTGCTCGAGAGGGCAAGGAGACCCTTCGCCAGATAATGGGGCTATCCGCCCGTGCCTGCCTACGCATGTCGATTGCTTTGTTGGCTGTGTGTATTGCCTCTCATGGGGCCGGCCATCCATGCTCGCAAAAGATACCCACATGCCGACCAAAAGATACCATGTGTACAACTTGCATGTAAATGCGGTTTGTCCTCGGAAGGTCGCAATATCAGGATGATCCAAAGAGCGGATGTAACCATCGCAGCTTCCCTCACCTGGCACGACTGTCGAAGTTGTAGCACATGGGTAGCGTTTGAGAACCGAGAGAAGAAGCAGGCAGCAGCAGCTCTCTGGCAGGCAACCCTCCGCTTGTGTTGGTTGTGAGCTGTGGGCGGACCCAGCAGGGGGGCTACGCGGAAGGGAGGAAGGTTCTGTAGGATTTCTGCGGCATTTCTTTTCGTGGGGCCCCAACGCTTGTCTGTGTGAGCCTGTCGGGACGGTCGTTGGATCCGCACCGTAGCCAGCAGGTAGCAGAGGCGATAGCCTGCAAAGCAGGTGGGCCTTGGAATTTTGAGAGAGTAGGCTCAACGGCTTGCAGACGACAGATAGATATGTTTCTTTTTAATTGTGCGGCATATGACGCGTTGATCGAGAAATAAATGTGCCGCTTGGCGGATGGATTCATCACGCACAGCTTGATTTTCTATGATAGAGACGGATTCGTTGTGTCATATTAAGAAATAAACACACACAAAAAAACTGACCCCATCATCTCGTAAATGCCGGTCAGACAGAGAGAGACGTGCAGCACACGCACGCAAAGGCCCACCTCCATTGTTCTTCAGAAACAACAGACCAGCCTCGGTTACATTGCACACAACAGACACGTGCTCCAAAGTGAACCTTCCGTAGTTTTTCCTACGCACCTCGTCGGAAGAAGCAAGATTGTTCTCTACATGCGTTGATTTTCCTGCCCCCGCTGGATTGGTGGGCATTCCCCCACGACACTTTATGTTCACCCGCTTGCAACATGGGGCCAAAACCGCTCCCTCTCTCTGGGCCAGCCTATCCAATATTATCCTTTCCACATGGCGCGATCAAGAGAACTTTCAAACACAAAATGCAACACGTAACCGCTACACCCCGTATCTACGGTTTCTGAAAAACCAAAACAGACGCTAATCGATCTTCGAAAAGCCTATTGATATTTAGCACACTCAAGCCCTTCTTTACGAGATCTTGGCCAGTTTTTCACCACGCTGTACCTGACACGTACTTCAAAACAACTACAACGCTGAGAATAAGAATACCTGCCCTCCCCTCACCCTTCACCCCCCACCCCCCACCCCCCACCTCCGTCATGCCACTCACACCGATACCAGACTCATGATCTGCATTGGTGCTACAAATACGAGGGTTTTACGCAGCGCACGCTTCTGTTGGACCAGTACGGAAATAAGAAGGTACTGAGCGGAGAACGCAACGTGAAGACAACACCAACAATAACAGCAACGCTTTCTGGGGGCAGAACAAGAATGAATGCCTTCCGCCAGCAGTCTTTGAAGGCATCACGTCTTCTGCCACCCCCTTCTCTGCGCCTCCGATAGGCAAGATAGGTCATCATGAGGTAAGCAACATAAGAGTACTCCCCCACCCCCCCCCTCGAACATCACGCCACGTGATCTGCACCCAAACTTGATTTTCCAGCTCAAAGCTCTAAAGACGACACCACCCCCGCCTCGATGGAGGATCGACCGCACGATGCCCGCGTAGAGAGCTTCCAGCGGCGCCGATCGAACAAATACCCATTGTCTACCGGATGTGTCTCCCTTTTTTACGTCACCCACGTCGTTTCCATTCTTCCAAGCAAAAAACGCACACACACGCACCAAAATACGTCGATTCCATGCCATACGCTCGCTACCCGCGCCCTCCAACACACACAGGGAAAAAGCACACTCGCATTCTCCATGAGCGTGTCAATCCCCCCATTGTTAAGTCTATATTAAGCTTCCGTGGGTGCAGTACCAGCACCAGATGTGCTTGCGGTTTCGGCCTTCTCGCCATCGACGTCGAGGAGGCCTTCGGTCAGGGCGGCTGCTGCTGCAGCTTCTTCCGTCTCGACCGTCACCTGTGTATAGCACACAAGAGAGAGAGGGAGAGACAGGGAGACAGAGAGGGAGAGAAGGGAAGGGAGAAAGAGGTACAGAGAGGTTGAGAGATTGAGAGGAGAGCGGAGAAGAAAGGGGGAGAGAGGTAGCGACAGAGAGACAGGCAGACACAGACAGACACAGACAGACAGAGAAGGGTGGGCCGTCAGGGGGAGAGCGGGAGCATGGGGAAACGTCGCAAAATGTCTTCGAATACAAAGTCGAAGTTGTCTCATGCCCCCCCCCCCGTAGTAGAGAAGCCTGAAAGGGAGATGCGTGGGGGATTAAAAGGAGCAATACAACAAAAACAGCAACAGCAGCAGCAGCAGCAGCAGCAGCAGCAGCAATGGCAGTACCGAACCAGCCACCACTGAAGGCTACCTCATCCGTTCGTGTTAGGCTTTATCACTCGCCCTCACACCCTCATCTTTGGGCGCAATCGACCCCCAACGGGGTTGATTCAAAGTGTCGCGCTCTTGACCTTGCACTCAAGCTAACGTGCGATTTGGATGAGCCGAGGCCAAATTCTATGCAAAACTAGCCAGCCGGCAGCACCATCGATTCTAAAAGAAACACACATACACACACACATTTGAGAGCGATGAAGGGGGAATAGAGGGAACGGGAGGACGAGAGAAAGACCAAAACAGTAACGGAGGAGAGAAGCATGGAGTGGAAGAAAGCAAGTGGAAGAAAGCAAGAGCTTCGAGCCAGATGACCGTCCCCACAACAAACGACGCAGGGCTAGAGAAGAACTGTCGAAAAATAGCTGTAAAAATGACGATGAGAATGAAGATGGTGGTGAAAACAAGGAGGATGGTGGTGAAAGCACTCCAAAACGAACTAGAGGGCAAGGTACCAGCCTTGGTAGACACGTGCAGTTTTCTTCTGTCGCTGCCGTTTCTGTCTTCAATACAGAGAATAGATTAGCCTCCCCCATGCCGCCCCCTCACGGGATCCCAGTTCATGGCATGTACAAGAGTTTTGTGTTTTCAACCGCACAAAGACTGACGTATTTTCATTGGTCAGCCGGTTGGCGCGGTCGATGCAAACTAAAACACACACACACACACACACACAAGGTTTCTTCCCTTTGACCACGTAAGGCGTCCGCGCAAGTTGGACCAGCACGGACGTTGTTTCTACACAGAGATCGGCACGGTCTGAATGTCAAGACAACCCACAGCGACACACACCTTGTCTCCCAGGATTCTTCGCAGGTCTGCCTTGTGCACGACGTTGTGCTCGAGAAGTGCCGCCGACAGGCTGTCGATCTTGTCGCGGTGCGTTCGGATCAGGGCGAGGGCGCGCTGGTACTGCTGCGCCAAGAGGGTCTGCATGAACCAAGATGAAGTGAAGGGATAGAGAGGGAGAAAGAGAGAGGGAGGGAGCGAGACGGGGGAGAGAGAGGGGGGGGAGAGAGAGAGAAAGAAACAAAGGCAAGAGTTGTTGGTGCCATCGTCGTAAAATACTATGCCTTCTATCCAGCTACCTTTTGCGTACTGATATCCAAAACCGATCTGCGCGCTTCGTCCCATTCATTCTGGCGACTAGCCTACACCGTGCGATCCTAAACTGCGGAAAATCCAGCGATGTACGACGGACCGACCTACGCCGCTTGGTATGGATAGGAATCATTGCTAATCAGAGCAGAGAGACTTGAAGTATGGCAGTAGCAAACAGCAAAGATGACGACGTGTCTTATCTATCTCACCTGCACTTCTTGGTCGATCTCGCCCATGACCTTCTCGCTAAGCTGGCGGTGACCGGGGGACAATAGGCCCGTCGTGCTGCCAAAGCCCACCCTAAACACACACGGCAATTTCGAGATTGGAAGGGGGGGGGGGGCGTACTCAAATGCTGCATGCCGTAACGGTTAAACCATTGACCGCGCGTCCTCCACAGGACGGAACAACACACGGCAATTCAGCTTCCCCAATCAGCGGGGAGGGCGAACTGTGAGCGTCACGATCATGCAACTGCCCAAATGAACTGATAAAGTACAATCGTTGTACGTAGCACCCCGAAAGAGTGCTCACCGTTCCCAAAACAACACGTTTTAAGGCTTCGAAACCTGTTCATACCATAGCTCGCATGCCTTCCAGGGCGAGCGGCAAAAAATACCAACACATACATCATCCTCCCGACCAAAAACAAATTAAGCACCATACTAGCGACAAAAAACAACTCAATTATCGTATTGCTAGAGAACAGGACATTAAACAATCAAATCGCTT